GTAAACTCTCTGGTAATGAATCCGTGTTCATCGGTCTTTTCTTCGTGCTTTCCGTGAATAACAACAGTATTATCAACAGTTTTCACACTTATTTCATCAGGCTTGAAGTGGCTAACATTCAATTTCACCTCGAAGTTATCTTTATCGTTCTTTACTTCAGACTGTCCAGAAGAATCTAAGTTCAGCTGGGTCCTGGGTCGAAGCAAATATCCACGATAGAGACGTGGTGGCAATAAATCAGAATCCATCAGACCCATTCCAAAGTTTTGGTCAAGAAGTGTTGCTGGATAATCAAAACTATCCCACCAAGAGCGACGGGATAACAAAGGCAATAGAGAGTAGGCCATTTTCAAAGTAAACAAGCGAAGAAATGAACAATAGCTCCAAAAGATTCGCTTTTAAACAGCACAGCAACAAATTCACTGGATGAAATTTGACAGCCAACTATCACGCTATGATCTCTGATCTGTCAAAACATAGCAGCGCTTCATTTTATAATCTCAGCTGTTATCCAGAATTTTCTCCAGCGAGCGAGATGTTACCATGGAAACAGCGTGAAAGTTCGGAGGCGTTCCATGAAGTTCTCTTCTGCTCTTTGTCAGTAATTTGGCGTCTTATCGCTTTTTTGGCAATACGAGTTCTTTTTATGATTTTGATATTAATCAGGAAGAACATTTAAAACACGTCAGAAAGTAAACTCACTGAGATCTATTTTATGTAAAATTTTGTTAAAAAAATTGTTCATTAGCTAGTTATTAATTTTTGTATTCAAATTAGAAAGAAAAAAAATGCAAAAACAAGCTAATTTGAAGTAGTTTTTTATTTGATTTCTTTATTTACTAATTTTTATGATAAAAGGGACTTTTTTTAGAATGTAAAATTTTCTTACAGCTTTGCGAATCAAAAATAATCATCATAAAGTTATTGGTAACCTCATAAAATGAACATAGCAAATATGCTTTAAAGTAAACATTAAATAATAATAATAATAACAATAATAATCATTCGAAAAGTTATTTTTAGCAATTCTATTAAAGAAATGCATTTAAATAAACTAGTTTCATAAATTTTTTCATAATTTTTAAAGCTTTCATGCTTAAATCAGCTGGGAGATTTCAATTTGCTTATTTTGTTTTCAGCATGGAAAATTGTTTGTAGAATAATATTTTTACTTTCGGTTAGAAAATTAAAAAAAGAATTCTTTTCGAAAATATAGAAATTTTTTTAACATTTATACAAAATCAA